TTGATCTCTACACCGAAACCACTTGGCTTCTTTTCCAAAATCGGGAACGGTCCAATATACTGTGGCTGGAGCGGTTTCCATCGGGCTCTTTGGCGCACGAAGACATGCGTTGCACTGTGCAAGTCTTGAGAGACGTAAGGCGTGTTCGTAGATACCGCTTGCGTAGGAACTGGTCGTGGGTCTGCAAAAACCTCCTTCAGCTTTGTGGCGTAGTCTTCTGGCCTCGTGTTTGGAGACGGGTCGACCTCGAAAAAGTCCGATGGTGATCGGAGGGTCGTCCCATAGACGCGTTCAGAGGTCGCACAGCCGAGGTCCTGCTTCAACGCCGTTCGAACTCCGAGTAAGACGAGTGGAAGCTGTTGTACCCACTCCCTGGAGTTCGCGTGGGCCATGAGCGCAGACTTGAGGTGTCGGTGGAAACGTTCCACCAGGCCGTTAGACTGCGGATGGTATGCCGTTGTCCGGGATCTCGTCATGCCTAGGATTCGGGACAACTCGGTGAGCAAGCTGGACTCGAATTTTTGCCCTCTATCGGTGACAATTTTAGAAGGGCATCCAAAGCGCGCCACCCAACAGGACAATAAAGCCTCGGCGACGGTGGCTGCAGTCATATCAGGCAACGGTGTAGCCTCCGGCCACCTTGTGAAGCGGTCGATACACGTCAGGATGTATCGTTGCCCTTGGGATGTCGGAAGGGGTCCGACAAGGTCAAGGTGAACCTTGTCGAAACGGGAATCGGGCTGCAGGAAGCTCGTGTGTGGAGGGACTGGATGTCGGTGTATCTTGGCGCGTTGACATGCCAATCAGGTCTGTACCCAGTTTCGCACGTCGGACTTGAGCCGTGGCCACACATAGCGATTGGCCACTAGCTTCTGCGTTGCCTTCATTCCGGGTTGCGACAACGAATGAATGGCATCGAAAAGCTGTCTTTGTAGAGCAACCGGAACGAACGGGCGATGCGTTCCTGTGGATGTGTCGCAGACGATGGTGATGTCTCTAGGAAATTGGACGTCCTGCAATAGTGAAGCTGTACTTGCGCGTAGCCGCTGCAGCTCCTGGTCGGATGCCTGGTGTTGAGCCAGCAACCTGATGTCGACTTGGGGAGAAGATGACGGCACGGCGTCAATTCGGCTCAGTACATCAACGGGGATGTTGGATGTACCTTTGACGTGCCGAATGTCGGTCGTGAACTCTGACAGGAACGAAAGTTGCCGAATCTCTTGAGGCGTGTAGGTGGAACCGGAATTTTGAATGGCGTACGTCAGTGTCTTGTGGTCCGTCCAGATGACAAAGGAGCGACCTTTGATAAAATTTCGAAAGTGCCGGACTACCAAGTACGCGACTAGCAGCTCCCTCCCAAAAACACTGTAGCGGGCCTCAGCGGCCTTTAACTTCTCGGAGAAAAAAGCCAGGGGTCGCCACTCGCCATCGACGTGTTGTTGCAAGACGGTACCTACAGCAGTGGCTGAGGCATCGGTCATAATCGAGGTTTGGGCGGAGTGCTCTGGATGTCGCAAAAGCACGGCATCGGCAAGTACGTTCTTCACTGCGCAGAAAGCTTGCTCCGCGGCTTCACTCCATGGTACGTTATAGATAAGGGACGCGGAGACCTGTTCAGGAGGGAGTCAAGGGGCTGGACCAGTCTCGCGCAGTTCGGAATGGACCGGCGCTGAAAGTTTACCAGGCAGAGGAATTGGCGGAGCTTGGTGATCGAGGTAGATCTTGGAAGTCTCTGATCACTTGAACTTTCGACGGCAAAGGTACAATGCCGTGGCGGTCCAGTCGGTGTCCAAGGAAGTCAAGTTTTGTTCTCCCAAATTCACTTTTGCGGTGTTGATAATGATGCCGTGATCTGAGAGTATTTGAAACAAAAGACGAAGGTGGTTGGTGTGCTCCTCCGGTGTTGAGCTAGCGACCAAGAAGTCGTCAAAGTAGGCGAATACGAAGGGAAGCCCGCGCGTGACAGCGTCGATGAACCGCTGGAAGGTTTGAGCCGCATTACTGAGGCCAAAAGGCCGTACGCAGGAACTCAAACAAACCAAACGGTGTAGTTATGGCTGTCTTCGGGATATCTTCGTCAGCGACGGGTATCTGGATGTTCGGAAGAGGGTATCTGTCGGGCACTGTGTTCTTATTCAGTGCGCGATAGTCGCCACATGGTCTTCAGTCTCCGTTCTTCTTAGATACCATATGCAACGGAGACGCCCAGCTGCTTGACGAGGGTCGGATGATTCCAAGCTCGAGCATATGCTCGAATTCTTCGCGAGCGATGCGGAGTTTTTTCTGGAGCCAGACGACGGGGTCAGGAATGAACCGGTGCGCCCGTTGTTTCGATGTGATGGTGAACATCGTGCAAAACTGGTCCAGTCAGGAGCTCGCGTGAGGCTTGGAAAGTCCCGTAGAAGAGGTTGGAATGGCCCGTCGATCTTGGAGCAGACTGACGCGAATCCTGCGGTGTCAGTTGCACGGAGAGTCGCGTTGAGGAGTCGAGCAGACGTCTCCTTGACGTCTACGAGGAGGCTCTGGTGTTGTAGGAAGTCAGCACCGATGATCGCGTTGCCTACGTCTGCGACCAGGAATAACCATCGGTAGACTTGTCTGAGGCCAAGATTTATGATAATGGACCGTTCCTTGTAGACGGGGATCGACTAGTTGTTCACAGCCCGAATCAAGTAGATGGGCGTTTGTGATCGATCCGCGCGTTTTGCAGAAACAGCGCTTACCTCAGCCCCGGTATCGACGAGATAATGGGTTCCAGTAGTCCTGTCGGCGATGTAAAATAGGCAACTTCCTAGTAGGTGTCACCGCCCGTTGGCAGAAGAGGAAGACAAAGACCATGAGAGTTTCGGGAATGAGAAATACGTTATATTATTTAAGCGAGCGGAAGAACTATAATGAGAAAGAAAGATAAAAGTAAGCCGTCAAAAAAGAAAGAGAGAATCACCAAAAAAAAGAGTACAATAAAGAAATCTCTACACGCGTCTCAACACTAATCAAAGTTCCGTCAAGTCATAGATACATCAGGTGAATCTCGCTCACGAGTCCTCCGTGGCCTGTCCTCGTGAAGGCGGTTGTCTTCGCTTCGATGGCTTGAGGTCATAGCGCAGATTCGGCCGGGAGCTGTGCATGGCAGTCCCAGATGTCGGAGTCCGGCGAAGGTTCCGTCGACCAGACCGCTAGACTCAGCGTTCCGCTGACCGTGGCAGCTCTTGAGCGATCTGCAGGCCGACCGTCGCGGTCCGTGCTTCGCTTCCAATTCCCTGCTCGGTCGCGCGCTCCCCACCTCGTGCTCTTCCAAATCTTCTTCGTCTTCGATCGCGGCCGCGGCGCAATCATTGCCATGAGGATCGTGACATTTCCCCCAACTTTTAAAAACTTCATCTCATGAAGATTTCTGCACGTGACGACGTCGTTGATACATCCTCGTTGTCGCCATACACGCGCACACACAGTCACTTTCTTGCAGCACCCGCGCACGTGTTTGACCAGCATGCACAAAGTCAAAACAAATCGTTTTCCACGAACTTCCATAATTAACAAAAATACTTTTTTCATTTCCCCAGATACTTTTCAATCATTTCACACCTTGTCCATACCACTAGAAAACTCACATTTGATCACTAAGTTTGCCAAAAACACGTTTACTAAAATACAAAACGAGATCCCACTTCCTTTCTTGTTGAAACAAGAATCCTATCCTGACATCATACGAAACGTACGTTCACTGTTCACATTACTTAATCTGTTTCCACGTTCCGCGTCGTAAAAAGAAAGGAAACTCCGCTTTAGACCTCAACGCGACTCATGAAGTCCGCTCCAACATTATCAGATCCCTTGATATATTCTACGTGGAAGTTCTGGTCTTGCAGCCCCAGACTCCATCGCATTACGCGACTGTTAGCATGCTTCGCCCTGTTCAGAAATTCCAACGGTCGGTGATCAGTCTGAATTCGAAATTTCCGTCCGTGCAGAAACAGCCTAAATCTCTCGACGGCCCATACAATTGCCAAGCATTCTTTTTCTATGGTGGCATAATTCCTCTCTGGTTTGCTCAGCCTCCTGCTAGCATATGCCACCGGGTGTAGCAAGCCTTCGCATTCCTGCAGCAATACCGCACCCAAACACGCATCAGACGCATCTGTACGTAAAACAAACTCCTTTTCGGGATCTGGTGCCAGTAAGATAGGCGACCGCGACAAGCACCTCTTCAACTCCTCAAATGCCTCCTCCTGGTCTTCACCCCACTCGACTTCATTTCGTGCTCCTTTCCTCGTGAGTTCCACCAGTGGAGCAGCTAGATCCGCGTAATTTGGTACAAACTCACGGTAGTACCCAGATAATCCAAGAAATGACCTGACTTGGCGTTTCGTCACTGGTCGCGGTGCATCTTGAATCCTTTCAAGGATCTCCGCGTTGGGCGCGATCCGTCCTCCTCCTAGCTCGTGCCCGAGGAAGACCGTCTCGGTGAACCCCACCTCACACTTCTTTGGTCGCGCTGTGATGTTAGCGGCTTGCAGACGATCGAAAACTGTTCTCAGAGTTTCCATGTGCTGTGCCCATGAGTCTGACGCTATCAGGATGTCATCAATATAGTGATGAGCGTCAGCGATTCCACCAAGTAGCTTCCTCATCAGTCTTGTAAAGATAGCCAAGGCAGTCTTAAGCCCGAACGGCATAAACCTGAATTGGTAGTGTCCACTTCCTGAAGAGAATGCAGTTTTCTCTTTGGCCGACTCCTCCAACGGGATTTGCCAGTATCCCCTCGATAAGTCTAATTTCGAAAAGAACCTCTTTCGTCCCACGTTAGCAAAGGTGACATCAATCCTTGGGATAGGCTCCGCGTCTACCTTCAGCACGTCATTCAATCTTCGATAATCCACGCAAAATCTATTGGACCCGTCTTTCTTTTTAACGATCACGACCGGTGCATTGTAGGGTGACGTACACCGTTCGATAACTCCCAGTTGTAGCATCTCCGAGATCTCCTCTTCTACTACGTCTTAGACCGCAAAGGGCAGCGCATATTGTCTCACCCGGACTGGTTCCTCAGTGGTCAGTTTTAAGTCACACGTTACCAAGTTGGTCTGGCCGGGTCGATCTGAAACCACCGACTGGTATTGTCCAATTAATCTCCACACCTCGTCCTTTTCCTTGTCCTGCAAGTCCTCGTTGACGACGACATCTTGCCAAGACTGTTCTGTAGTGTTTCTTTCGGAGAGAGTCTTCTCGCTGAAGTCTTTTGTCGCCGCGCCGCAACTTGGCCGATTCATCCCGTACTCCAGCCTTTCTTCATATTTCTTTAACATATTCACGTGGAATACTTTCTTTCTTCCGCCTACATCAAGCTCGTAGTCGACTTCATTTCTCCTACTTGAGACTTCAAAGGGTCCCTTCCATTGCATGATCAGTTTATTATGATCGCTTGGAAGCAGGATGAGAACCAAGTCCCCTGGTCTCAGTTGGCGGGTGACGGTCTTCTTGTCGTAGTATTTTTTGTACTTGCCCTTGGCTTCTTCCAAACAATGGTGAGCCAACTCGCATGTCCCTTCCAGTTTATTTCTCATTTCTAGGACATGGGTGTAGGTCGTCTTGAGGTCAGCTTTGAGAGACTCGTTGGACCATATCTCCTTGAGGATGGCCAAAGGTCCTCGCACCTTCCTCCCATAGAGCAATTCAAAAGGTGAGAACTTCAGGCTTGCTTGCGGGACTTCTCTGTAGGCAAACAGCAATGCCGGAAGGTACCTATCCCAGTCTTTGGGCCTTTCCTGACACATTCGTTTCATCATCTGTTTGATGGTTCCGTTAAATCTCTCAACCAGTCCGTTCGCCATCGGGTGGTAAGGGGTGGTCAGTAGACGCTTCACCGAAAGAAGTTTGCTCACCTCCTTCATGAGATCTGAGGTGAAGCAGGAGCCTCGATCGCTAAGGACCTCTGATGGAATGCCGTACCTGGCAAACATCTCTAAGAGCGCTTCTGCCACTTGCTCTGTCCCAATGTTCCTCAAGGGGACAGCGTCCGGGTACCTTGTGGCCATGTCCACCATCGTCAAAATATATCGGTTGCCCGAACTTGCTGTTGGTCTAATTGGCCCGATGATGTCGACTGCCACTCGCTTGAATGGTGTATCGATTGTAGGCATGGTCCCCAGAGGTGCTTTGCCCACTCTTCCTTTTGGCACTGTTCGTTGGCAGACGTCGCATGAGCGAACATACCGCTTGATGTCGCTCTGAATTCCAGGCCAGAAGAACTCTTCTGTCGCCAATGCAAGCGTATTCTTCACACCTTGATGTCCAGACATGATGCCATCGTGTGCCATTGACAACACAGTTGGCCTGTATCTCGTTGGGAGCACTAATTGCTCAATGCTTCTCCCAGTGGAGAACACGCAGCTTCGAAAAAGCAAGTTGTTTCGAATCACCATGTCATATCTTGTCCGGCATTTGTGTTTCCTTACCACTTTTCCTACGTTGTCGAAGCACTTCTTCAGGGATGGGTCATTCCTCTGCTCCTTCGAGAGCTCCTCTGCTGTCGTTTCAAGGATTGGAACCTGTGGTACGTTCAAGGGTGCCTGTCCTCTATTGCTACCGTTCTTCGCCTGTCCAAGTCCGGCGACGTTGACATGTAGCATTGTAGAGTGGTTACTTGGGACGTGTCGTGATGAATCAGCTCTGTTCTTCTCGATTCTCTGCTCTTCCATGTCCTCGCAACCCAGATGCTCGGTCCGCGGTGGAATTTCGGTGCTGCTCTGTTGGTCGCAATTCCAGGCCGGGTCCGGCTCGTGTGCCTCTCTTGCCTGGGGGATGTTGCCGAGAACTAAATCGTACAGTGGGTTGTCAATACATTTTGCGATAACTTTTCCAACGAAGAAAGGTGTATCAACAAAGATCTCAGCCTCTGGTAGGTATTTTACAGTTCGGTCAAGCAAAAATACAGGGCTCGATTTGCCAGTGTAGCACTCGACAGGGACTAGGCTCTTTTTCACAACTACGGTATTACAGCCAGTGTCCCGCAGCACTGTTATCTTCTGTTCCCCAACACGACCTTCGACTACAGGCATGTTATCCACCAAGAACTTGGGTGCTCGTCCAACAGCCGCATTTACAACTGGGATCCTGCCTCCATTCTTGAGGGTAATGTAGGAATTGTCCGGTTCCCCTTGCCTTTCATCCGATGCTGTCCATAGGCAAGAAACTTGGGTCTTATCCCCAGACCTCAGGTTGCATCTTTCAGCTTTATGCCCCGGCTTCCCACAGTGCCAACACGTAGATGGTCTAGAGTATTTGCTTCGACTCTGGCAGTTCTCTGTCTTGTGCCCTATCTTGTTACACAAGAAACATCGGATAGTTCTCCTTACATCCTCCTTGAGCGCGCTACCGGATGTCCTCATGCTGGCATTAAACTCACGTTCGTCTCCTTTCGCTTTTTCATTGCTCGGTTGAACTTGCGCCTCTAGAAATACGTCAGCCTTTCCTGCCAGATCGTCTAGCGTCGTGCAGTCCCTTTCTTTCAAGAAAACGGTTAGCTTGCTGGAACATGTTTTAATAAACTGTTCGATGAGCATCGTCTCTCGTAGCGCCACGAAGCTCTTCTCCACCTCAGCAACTTCCAACCATCTATCAAAATATCCGGCCAACCTCGCCGCAAACTGTCGTCTAGTTTCTCCGTCTCCCGGTTTCGCATCACGAAATTTCTCACGATAACCTTCTTTGGTATATCGGAACCTCTGCAGCAGCGCGAGCTTCACCTTGGTGTAATCCATCGCGTCCGCAGGAGTCATGCGACCAACAACGCTCAATGCCTCTCCCGTTAGGCATAAACTCAGGGTGGTTGCCCACTTCTCTTGTGGCCATTCTAGACCTGTCGCCGTACGCTCAAATCTTTGCAAATAAGCGTCGAGGTCGTCGCGCTTCTCGTTGTATTGCGGAATAAGCTTATGAGGGCTTGCCCGATGACTTGGTCCAGCTGAATTACTTCGGTCCCCCTCGTCTCGTGCCACGCGAGTTTCTCTTTCCTGAGCCGCGATTCGCAATTCTAATATCTCGCGTTCTTTGTCTAGTCTGATGGCTTCGGCCTGGCATGCGCGTTCTCTCGCTTGTTGTTCTTCTTTTGCCGCCTCGCGCGCCTGTGCTCGCTCTTCTCTCAAATAGTTCGTTTCTCGCTCGACCCAGTTCCTGAGCTCTTCACCAACGTACCCCAGCTCTTTTCCGGCCGCCATCAGCTTCTCAGTTTCTACAATCCCGGAACTAGCCATGACAGTGCTCCCGCTCTCCCAAACAAGCGTGATGTAATAAGTGGGCTAATATACTGGCAACCTCGCCATTGTCACCGCCCGTTGGCAGAAGAGGAAGACAAAGACCATGAGAGTTTCGGGAATGAGAAATACGTTATATTATTTAAGCGAGCGGAAGAACTATAATGAGAAAGAAAGATAAAAGTAAGCCGTCAAAAAAGAAAGAGAGAATCACCAAAAAAAAGAGTACAATAAAGAAATCTCTACACGCGTCTCAACACTAATCAAAGTTCCGTCAAGTCATAGACACATCAGGTGAATCTCGCTCACGAGTCCTCCGTGGCCTGTCCTCGTGAAGGCGGTTGTCTTCGCTTCGATGGCTTGAGGTCATAGCGCAGATTCGGCCGGGAGCTGTGCATGGCAGTCCCAGATGTCGGAGTCCGGCGAAGGTTCCGTCGACCAGACCGTTAGACTCAGCGTTCCGCTGACCGTGGCAGCTCTTGAGCGATCTGCAGGCCGACCGTCGCGGTCCGTGCTTCGCTTCCAATTCCCTGCTCGGTCGCGCGCTCCCCACCTCGTGCTCTTCCAAATCTTCTTCGTCTTCGATCGCGGCCGCGGCGCAATCATTGCCATGAGGATCGTGACAGTAGGTTCTGACTACTCGTTGCCTCTATCGGTCTGCTCCAGGAGCAGGGACGAAGGCAGTGCCGGGCGTCGGAGCCAAAGCGGCGATGGGATACGCAGACGTCCGCTGAACTTGCGGAGTGGGAACGGTCAGCATTTCTCCAACGAGATGTTGAACGTCCACGATGTTGTTGAGTGCGTGGACGATCTTGACGGTGAGTTGCTGCGGTAACACTCTCTTCCAACCGCTGGCAAAGCTGCCCGAGGCTGCCGTCAGACGATGGAATGCCTAGCAGGGCAGGCATCGCTTCGCTACCGTCTTCTTCCGCCGATGTAACGCTGGCGACGGGTGGAGTGGCAACTTCAATAAGGACGTCTGCCAGGGCTGCGAGAACTGTGAGGTCGAGAGCCGTAGCGGCGGCTAACGCCAACTGGACGTTGGTTGGCAGGCGCTGAATAAATAGCTCCCGCAGCAGAGCGTCGCTGATCATGTTGGCGCGATCTCCAAGGAGCTGAGTCATCCGCCTTAACAGCTGGAACGGACGTCGAACGCCGAGCTCTTCCGCCGAAAGAAGTTCTTGAAGGCGGAAGCGATCTGGTGCCTCGGTTCTCTGCAGGAGAACCGCCTTCAGCTGGTCGTAGGATGCTGTGGCTGAGGGTTGCGCAAGGATGTCGTATACTTCGTCGGCTTCTGCCAGGGACAGCGCCGAAACGACATGATGATACTTGCTCTCCTGGCTCGTCACACCGCTGAGACGAAACTGGGACTCGGCCTGCAGGAACCAGACCCTCGGGTTTCTGTAATAGTACGGCGGAAGTCGGACTGCAACCGACGAGATGGAAGCCGGGAATCCAGCAGCCGCTCCTTGGAGTTCGCCGTTGTCCATGATCCTCAAACTGGTCACCAAATATGGGGGGGGGGGGGGGGGGGGGGGGGGAGGGGCGCGAGGCCTTACCACGTTATTTAAAGTGAGGACATTGAACGAGACAAGCGAACGACTTTTCTGCCTGTGATGGCGGCTTCAGAGCATTCTCTTGCACGAGCTCTCCGAGGCGCGTGCGCGTGCTGCGCCTCGAGCCATCTCTTCTATTTTGATGAGAAGAATGAATCTATGGGTGCGTTGCACCTACACCGTGGTTGCACCCTACACTGAGAATGACGTCTCTGACACTGTCTTTTAGAACGACGAATTTCACAGGACACGTCTCGCCGTGAATTTCAACGCGAAGAGCGCACCTTCCGCCAGGCGTGATGAGGTTCCCTCCAGCGGTTCGTATATACGGCCCATCCCACGGCGTCGTCACTTTTCTAAGGCGGCGAGACAGCCTCCTACTCAAGACTGAGGAGTCTGCTGCGGTGTCCAAGAGTGCTGATGCCTCGTGGCTGTAGATAACAACGTTTAGGTTGTTGGGCATTGTTGCGGCAGCGTCGTTGCGATACGAGGCGTCAGGAGAGTGGGAGCGCTCCGGCGTTCTTGGGGGCCCTTGGTAGTCTTTGGCAACACCACCTTCGGGCGTTGCCGCACTTAGTTTTCCCGGCGACGCAGGGGAGACAGGCTCTTGTGGCGGAGCCGTGGCGCTAGAGATGATGACCATCTGGGCGATGGTGAGCGGGATTCACGGCGGAGAGGCGGAGCTGAGGATGGCGAACGTCGGAGGTACTCGTCAATGTCCCAAGGTCGTTCGCCATACCTTGGGCTCGGGTCGCTGTGGTGGAGCCCGCGCAGCCCCAGTTGTCGGTACGAGCATTGACGGTAAGTGTGGTCGGATTCACCGCAGTGGTAGCACAGCGGTCGTCGGTCAGACGTGCGTCAGACGTCGGTCTTCCTTGGCACTGCTTGTAAGGGGCGGCTGTACTTGACCCGTTCTTCCTGGCGTCGGATCTGCGGCGGTGTTTGGAACTCTCGTGGAGGTGGTGACGTGTATTGGAGGGCAGCCGGTGGCGGCCGTCGCGCCATTGAAGCGTATGTTACCACTGTGTTTCGGGTTCAGACACGTCGACAAGAGCCTTCAGTTGAAAGGCTGGCTGCACTTCTTCACGAACGAGCTCGGTGAGCCATAGCGCAGCTGGTCAATCTGCGCTCGACACCAGCTTCCTAATCTCCTCGTGGACAATGTCTCTGACAATCTCACGGATCGCAGAGATGTCAGAGCTGCCGGACCCGACACTGCGGTTTGACGGTGCATTCACGGTGGCGCCGGTCGAACGCTTGTAATGATTCACCCTCGCGAACGAGCGGTTCCTCTCGAGTAGCGCCCTTTTAAGGTGGGTTGCCTTTGAGACGAAGCTTTCCACTGTCGCCGGAGGATTCCCGATAAGACCGCCAAAAATGGCATCCCTGACACCTCGCATGAGTACCCGCGGCTTTGTTTCAACGGTGTCCTGAGGGTCGGCGCAGGCGAACAGGCGGAGAACGTTTTCAGTGAAACTGGTGACCCTTTCCTTTGGCCCCTGGCTCCTCCCTCGAAGAAAGGTCTTCGGCCCGCTGCCGTCGATGTAGACTTACAAGTGTTTTCTCCAGCTCGCTCTTACAAACTCCGCACGTGGTAAAGCCATTGCCTTATTGTTCCTTTCAGCTAGGAGTACATGTTCTGGAGGCGTTGCTCATCAGTCTATCCGTTGTGGAGGGCCACCCGGTTGTACTGCTGGAGCCAGTCTTTTACGTTCTCGTCGATTTCTCCGCGGAATGACGTCGGCACACGGGGAATCATAGGCAAGAACACGTAGGACGACGCTGCAGGAGGATTTTTCCGTCTGCTGGTCGGTGGAGCTCATCGTAAACTTCGGTGTCTTCTTTGTCTTGTCCGGCAGTGGTCCAAACTCAGCGCGTTGTGCTCGGAGACGCTGGCTTGCACGGGGCCCTGTTTTTTTTCTACAAATTGTCGATTTGGAGTGGGGGTTGCCGAGCGGGCCCTCGGAGGGGTACGGTTAAGAAGCATAGGGTGCCTACCCCGCACATCCAGCAGAATGTCACGGGTGGTGACCAAAAAAACTATAAATAAACAGAAATAAATAAACGTTTGATGGAGCGAACTTGGGCACTCAACAAAAAAGAAAACAGAAGATAAAGACAGTTCGTCGTGGACGTTGAAGTCGGTGTAACAACAGGATCGAACGCTGGGGCGAGACTGACTCCGGCTCGCCACGCGGAGCGCATTTTGTACCCCCACGGGTTTCTGCATTTATTGGCGAAGAACTTTCGGCGTATAGAACATTCGTAAATCAATCAGACGATAATGTTCTCGAACTTACGAGAACGCCAATTTGAAAGAATAAATAAAAGTATATTCTGCTACCCCACGCCGCCACGTATACGCGCTCGCTTGGTGACGCGCTTCAACAATATCCTATTATGTAGTACAATGTCAATCTAAATTTATTTATCCCAGCCCGAAATTTGTTTCAGGGATACTTTTAAAGAACCTTTTGAAAATTATCAAGCAACATTGGCGGTCACCAATTTAGGGGCACGACGCGTGTCATTGGATTTGAGTCCTCGCCGAACATTACCACAACCCTGTCTCCAATGCATGCTGAAATTTTGTGCCCAAACAATGCCGGTCTAGATACTTTGCTCAGCAGCCACTAGAGGGCACACACTTTTCAAAAGCGCATTAAAAGTATAATAGAAGAATGGTGACTAAAATCAAGGGACGGATAGAGGTTAAACGTGATTAATTTGCTTAACCGCTATTCATAATGGAGCTAAAATTGCTATTTGGCTAGGTAGCGCAAGTCACCGCCCGATTCAAAGGAATTAACCGCCATTCATCCATCTGTCCATCCATCCCTTCATTCACCTCGTTAATTCTGGTCATAGTAAAAAAAAAAAAGATGAAAAACATTTACAAATTTTTGTATAGCGAAATTAGAGTGCAGCTCTTGCGGAGAAGGGGAGAGTGTA